TACACTGATGTGTCATCAGCGAACAGTCTTGCTTGGGATGTCAGTTTCTCGGGTAAGTCATTAATTTATGCTAGGAACAAACAGGGGTCTAGCACTGATCCCTGGGGACCCCTGATTTCAAATCTACAAAGGAGGAGCTTGTATCGTCAACCACTAATGCTTGGTATCGGTAGCTGAGGAAGCTAGAGATCCATGTATGGTGCCTTGGATCCCATATCTCTGGAGTTTGTGTAGAAGCAAACTATGATTGACACGGTCAAATGCCTTGCCAAGTCCATCACCAGCACGTCAGTCTGCTTGTGGTTCTCCAGATTTGTCATCAAGTCTTCTACACATTCAAGGAGCTGGGTCTCACATGATCTATTGACTCGGAAGCCATGTTGACATTCATTGAGTATATTTTCGCTTTCAAGATGCTTCATGACTGTGATTACGATTATGTACTCCACCAGTTTGCAGACCACGCTGGTGAGGGATATCGGGCGATAGTTGGCAGGGTCGGAATGCTCCCATTTCATGTAGATTTGAGTGCCATGCGCTGTTCTCCAGTCTGTTGGAACATTTCCTGTGCACAGCGACGATTGGACGAGGATTGTAAATGCAGGAGCAATTTCTTTGGCTAATTCTTTGAGCTCTCGTAGTTTGATGTTGTCAGGGCCACATACTTTTTACGGGTTAATGGTTTTGAGGAGGGCGAGCACACCCTGTTCTAATATATGGATATATTCCATGACAGGGTAGAATCTGTTCATCATTTTGGTCTTCAGAACGAACTCAGCCTCCGAGTACTCTCTATCGTCACCAAAGACCGACTGGAATTGCTGATTGAGTATTTCAGCCAAAGCTTTTGGGTCAGATGTCATTGGGCCATCCCACCTCAAGGGGAAACTCCAGCGTTTGATGATTTTTGGTGCTTTACACAGCTCCAGATGCGGTTGTTCTTGATACCTTTAGTCGGGGTGTCTTTCTCTGAGAAGATGCCGTTCATGTTGTTCCAATATAATCTGCTTAATAAGCGTTGAATTGTTCGGCGGAGCCTTAATACCTCCTCTCTCAGTTCAATCGAGCTATTTTTCTTCATTCGTTTGTATTGGCGGTCTCTCCTGTGGATGAGCCTACAGATTTCAGCCGTGAAAATTTTCACCTGAAATTATTTTGTCTTGAATGTAAGAAGTGTAATAAGTGTAAAACATGTAAATAATTAAATTAAACAATTTTAATTTATTGCTGACTGATATTTGCCCATGTGTAACAAATGATGCTTCTGAGATATTAATGTCCTTATAAAAATGCACCAACCCATATTTTGAGTAACTGTAGTTTATCAAAATGATACATATTTTCCATTTTAATAAAGAAAAATTTAATTCAAAGATTAAAAATTATAACTTTAAATGATGTCTTATTTAAAAGTTATTCACTAAATGCAAAGATCTCTCGAAAGATATAATGAAATGTGATGCTCATTCAAAAGATTCAAAAAGAGTTATCACTTAAATGGTGGAAATAAACAAATACTTTAACTTAAATATTACAGTTCATTTACCAAATGTTCCATTAAAATATGAAGGACTTGGCTAATAAATTGCATTTTTAACTTTTACCGTTAGTGCCGGCGTCGAAAATTTGTTTAAATTTGAATGTTTTATAACAGTGAGTGCTAACTAATATTTCAATAAAAGTTTATATCCCATTAACATTTTTATAATCTTCATACATTCGTGTAAGAAAAAAAAAAGTAATTATAGAATGAAAATAAATAAATGAAATAATTTTTTTTATTGTATGTTCTATAATTTGATCTTCTAACTATATATAATACTATAATTAATTCCTAAATTAAACAGCTAAGGGAAAATATAAAATTAGTCTCATAAAAAACGGGATAAAATATAAGAGATATACATAGGGATAATGCAATTATGACCAATCTTTCCAGGACTCACCAATAGTTCAGGAGGAATGAGCTTGTCAAATTTGATTGTGTCAAGGGTATGTCAAGACTAATTGACCCACTTTCCGTCTACAAATCGAGCTTAAATTTGGAACATAGACTTGTTGCCAATGACAACATATTGTATCGAATTTTTTAGAAACGCCCCCTACCCCAAATCCTCAAAAACATTTTTTTTTTCAATGTCGAATCTAAAATTCAAATTTGTAACATATAAATGTATTTATTTTATAGTATAATTGTACTCCATGATGTACAAGATAAATAATGGGCTGGTCCACTGTTCCAGTATTAAACAGAAACTCGTCCCTCTCCCCCATAGACAGCGACGAGGCCATGACAGGCAATTCAGGCTCATACCAGCAAGAAGCCAGTATAGGAGCTGCTCATTCCTGCCCAAGACAATCAGGGACGGAACCATCTTTCAAAAGGAACAGTTGAGGCGACAACACTAGACACATTTGTGTCTTATTGCCTCAAGCCTTCAAACCCCTAGTGCATAATTTCCTCATCACCACCAGTAACAGAAACATTGCAAATCCCATCTACATGCATAGGAGCCAAAATGATCAATAAATTGATCGTGGGCCCTTAATCTCAAGCCTTCAAACCCCTAGTGCATAATTTCCTCATCACCACCAGTAACAGAAACATTGCAAATCCCATCTACATGCATAGGAGCCAAAATGATCAATAAATTGATCGTGGGCCCTTAAGATATAGAAGAAGAAGAATTATGCAATAAGGATTAAATTTACTTACATAAACGAATATTTGTTTTATCAGTTTCTAACTGAATCAATTTCTGTTAAGATAAACAAATGCATATATATCGTTTTTTTTTAGATCCAATCAAGAAATAGAAATGTTATTTTACGTGCCTAAAGAACACACATTTCCACGCTGCCTAGTACACATTGGTAAAATTTAATTTTTGCGCTATTTAACTTAGAAAACAGCTTGCACATTGTATAATTGTCATAATAATTAATATCTTGACCCCCATGCTACTTCAACAGCACTTTGTAAAGCACTGCATGAAGAACACAGAGTTAAATCAAGACTATACTTTGGTACTTGACAAAAAAAAAACACAAGTGTTAGCATGATCAATATTTGGTGATTAAAACATAAATCTTATCTTTAAACAATATGTAAATTTTGGCTACAATTATCAGGCTACATTATTTGGAAAACGTAAACTGCTATATGAAAAAAAAAAAAAAAAGTTTATTTACTTTAAAAAATACATTTTATGGAATGTTGATGTTTAAAAAAATAATTTTAACATTTTTTTTCCATATTGTTCATAATGAATATTTTTGTTTTTACTTCTACGGTGTTGTCTTATTATAAAGCCTTTTATTAATTTGTTTAGATTCAAAAGACATTTTTGTATTTTTGTATAAATAAGTAAACATTTCATTGCTAATTTTAAAAACGATTACCAAAAAAAAAAAAAGAAACAACGAATTTCAAATCTGAAATTATCATTCTTTAATAATAAAAATTTTAAATCAAATTATATGAGAAAAAAAATGCCTGTAAAATTTTAAACGAAAATAATAATAATAATAATAAAGTTAAATTCAAAATCACGCTCCATCCCCAAAGGCTGGAAGTGCCGTACAAAGTCTAGTATATTAAAAGAGAAATGTAACAGTTTAATAATATACAACATTGAAATACACAATGCAACATTGCAAAAACTATACCAGAATACCCATTCTATGTCGTACATACCTAAACAACCATTAAAAACACAGGACAATGCACATCCATAAGACAATAGCCAGATCGACAACATCATCCCATCTCTCTCGTATGCGTGCCACTAACCTGTATTTATAGTCTTTCACAATTCAATACATAAGAACAGTGTAGCTATTAATAGCTTTTCTCGTAAAATGATAACGAACATAATAATTTTCAAGAATATATTACAAAATCTACATGTTTTACTTTTCACTTCATTAGACTCGCACAAAAGTTAATCTCAATAAAAATTTCAAATTAATTCACTAAAAATAACATTTCCCCAAAATAAATGTATTGCTGGTTCTACAACTTTTTGCAAGCGGCCAGCCAAGCAATAACCTCAAAACATGCTAGAGTGTTCACGAAAACTTAATTTTCAGTTTNTTTATAGATATAAAAGTAGATATATATATATATATATATATATATATATATATATATATATATAATATCGTGTTGCAAAATTGAAATTGAAATCTAGCAATAACCAGCTATTATCTCTTACATTTATTATGCTTCAATTGTAAGAAATTCTATTAAGATATAATTTAACATTTGATTAAAGGACCCTGTTATTAACACGTTAACAAAGGGAAAGCCATGAATTATCTTTACCCATTTAAAAAGCACCGTCTTTGACAATTACAAAAAAATTACTTTAAGGTTACCGGCCCTTTTCCATGAATAAACTGAGATAGACTTGACAAAAGCAAAGGGTAATAACTAATGCTACTTTAAAATTAATAACATCACAAATACATAGTGTATATTAATGTTTGATATGTGGTTAGGTAGTAATTTAAAATGATAGATTCAGATACAATTTAAGAACGGAGCATACTCTGTCCCCGATACGGATGCTTCATTAATTTTTAAAAATAGCAATCAAATTATAGATGGAAAAAAAATGAAAATTACGTCGAGGCTGTTAAGTGGAGTAATGCTTTAAATGTATGATTTCTTTACAAAAAAGTTTCTCAAAATATACTTTAAAATGCTTTAATGTGCATCATTTTCCAAAGTTGTTATTATTCTTGCTTTTTTTCAGTTAAGAAAGTTAACCTTCAAAGCAACTTGTGACAATGAGTACATTATTGAACATAACATATCGAAAAATGTTTCAAATGTAAATGAATCTTATAAGCAAAAACCTGTCAGTATGATTAAAAGTATTGAAATTTAAACAATAAAATATCAAATAAAATCTTAAAAACTTAGGTTTATTTAAAAATTTATTTGTAAAAGTTGTTTCATTTATTTTCTAAATGTTTAAAAACATAATTTACACGTTATGATTATTTTTAGTTTAATTATAAAAAAAGTATTGTTCTGAACATCGGTAGAGCAATTTTAAATGTCTACTTGAATTTAAGCCCAGTCAATTGCAAATGTACTAAAATTTTTATTCTCAGCGTCTACCCCACAATGTAGATGGTGTGTAGTCCACATCCGATGATCTTTGCCTAAAATACAAACATAAGCACCAGCACTTCCTGGACATGTTGAAGCTGTGTATGTGTATCTGGTAACCTCATCTATTGTGTCTTTTTTATTTTTTTCATTTAAAATTCTCTCTACCCAATGCCCCACTGAAATCTTTTTCGGCCCACCATGAACATGGGATACGATACATACTATCTTTTGGTTCTGCTTTTCATCTCTATTTCTTTCACTTATTTTTTTGTGTATATCTCTCCAGCGATTATAATCTGCATATACTTTGTCCAGCTTTTCAACTTCATTTTTATCACATGTAACATATTTCATCAAAAATGTTTGGCAATCGACAAAGCGTTTTTCTTTTTTGAAACTAGACAATTCAAATGTGTTACTATTTTCATTATCATAAAAAAATATACAAGTAGTTCTCATTGCCTCATCATTATTAGAGACAACATGTGTGGAGGTGTAAACAAACAGCTCTCTCCATTCTTTACTAGGTTTTTGTTTTGTTGCACATTTATTGCATACACAAGGTACGTTGTTCTTTTTGTGATGCCTTATAACACGCTCTACCCAACCAGTACCAGTTTTAATAACATTGTCATTGGTTTTGTCAGTTTTGACGGTTATTTTGACAGTCAGTGGAACCATGGATTTTATTAAATCATATAGCTTATCTAGCTCAAAATATTTTTGTTTCGTATTAATAACAAAGTTGTTTTTTTTTTTCAAATCTGAGTATTCTTCGTGGCTCTTCTTACAATTGTTATGCAGGCTTTTATAATCATTTGCTCCATTTTCGGTTTCATACATTATTTGATCTGCAGATGAATGTAAAATAATTATGGTTAAATTTTGAAGAGACATTTAAATTTTATAAATTTAATAATGCATATTTTATTATAATTACAAAGAGACATTTTGTTAATTTCAAATATTTTTTTTTTCAAAATATCATAAAGGTAAATAGATTATGAGCTTGTCTGTTTATTTGTGAATCATTTTTAAAAACCATCCTATGATTTTAACATATGTTCACAAGAAAGAATATACACATATATGACGAGACCAACACCACCACACATCCCCAATTTGACCCATTTGACTACAAGTGTAGTTTTCTATGAACTAAGTTACTTGAACAAAATTAAAACATGAATTAACTATTGGGTTTTCTATCTAAATAGTTTTCAAAAGTTGGTTCTAAATAAAGGTCCAAAATAAAAAACAACTTAAAGTGCATATTCTACGAAAGAGAAAACTATTTCTAATACAGATTAATGGACAATATGTTTGACCTCTGTATTTGGTGTTGAACATTTCGTCATCTCTATAACACCAAGACATAAATACCATTAACTACCATCAGCGTATTTATAACTGCGTCTTGCAGAAAATTGTGACGAAGGGTCTAATTCCTTATTTTTCTATTCCAATTAGTCGTAAGTAAATTGGCTTGCATTTTAAAATGGGCAAAAAAAACTAGCCAGTCCCCAAAGATCTAAAATATAACCTACTAACAATAAACTTATTAATTTTTAACAACAAAAGAAGGGGTCCCATCCCACTCATCGGTTAATTTTGATAAATGCAGCATTTATAACATATTATGTTTCTTCCACACCATTAGAAAGTCTCCATCGTGTGGGCAATGCAACCAATATCAGTAAGTTCTTTAAAATTCGCTCTAAATCTATTCTATTGAAGAGGCTGCAGCAAAGAAGGTGTTGTTTTGTTGTAAATGGAAAACAGTGCATATTAGAACTTTCAAGTATCTATATTCGTCACGCTTTGCCCTATCACCACAATAACTTGTTCCGAAATATGTTTTTATCATTTGGAAACAACTTCGATTATCTACGACTATGTACTTTTCTAAAAACGAATGCTCTTGAGATATATATTTCATTAATATTATTTAGGTCGGAATTCTTCAAAACACTCTTTTCACTTTGATCTAAGAGGCTGTTGCTTGCAATCCAGGAAATTATTTCTTTTTTAAAGTTAGGAAGAGCCTCTTCAAGATGATGGTGAGATGGGTTATGATACATGTGCACCATTTGTCTTTTTCAGACTATTGGTAAGTTTAAATTCATTGCAGGTTTGAATAGGTGACTTTAAGAATGTTGCGGTTCATTTTTATAATGTCGGATTTACTCAAACAATTAGTTCAAGGATGAGACATTATTTAAGACCATAGTGTCATAAAAGTGATGTGGATAGCAGGTAAGAGCTCACCTTGAATGTATTTTGGTAGCTTAGAGGTTGGACTCAATGAAAGCAAATCGTTTAACATTGACCAAAAAAAAATTCAAAAAGTGTGGGAGATAGAGCTTTGACTTCTTAACATCGGCTTCTTAACCCATAAAGTGCCAAAATCCCCATTTGGGGATGATGCAACTTTTAACAATCTATTTTAGCCACCTGCTATCTACTTAGGAAACCACGATGTTTGCATGACTCATTCAGGTTGAACCTTTGCAACGGATGTTAACTTTTGCGCGTAGACGTGGTTGGCTTCCCTTGCAAGGTAAGTCTTCATTTCTGGGCAGCTATTTTCATCGCGTGAGTGGAACGCCAGTTTTGAAAGCAGAGAAAGTGTTATCCAAAAGGCACCATTTCATTCATTATTGGTGGTTTATCTTGAAAAAAGGTAAGTTTTTAGTACTATATTGAACTTTTTCAGTCATGTTATAATTTTGATGACTACTGTGGAGCGAAATATCTCGATTCCCATTAGGGGCTAAAATCTGATACAAATTTTAGCAACTATTTCGTAAATGTGTTTAACAGGAAATGACGTGAAACAGGTTCCTTACTTTAAAAAAAAAATAATAATGTAATAAATGACGATGCATTTCTGATTTCTGATGAAACAGAGTATGACAATAGTCATATAGATATTGTGGAATTTTCTTCAGATCGAGTTGACGAAGTGTTAGACAAAGAAGATACCTTGATAACATTATTGATGATGATGAACATCTGCATTTTAACAAGTGGGGATGATGATGTTACATTCGGGAATTAGAGTAATAATTCGGAATCCAAAGTGGAAGAAGACTTAACACATTTATTTGAAAAGCTACCCAATCTTTGATGATGTGCAAAAAGAAGTAATGATGTAATTTTTTTATTAATTGGGAAACGTCTCATGTAGTTTTTTATGCTATTTGATGAGGCGATTATCACAGATATTGTCAGGCAGAATGTAACATACGTCACAGAGTAAATCGTCTTTCAGGTTTTCCTTTCAAACGTTTGTATCAGAAAATGTATTGACATTTTTTCTTTCTTTTTGCTGGGTAACACCTCTTTCTTCAAGAACAATTATACTTGTGTGAAGACGAAAATATGATGCTCAATGTGTGAGAAACATGTATGAGCCGATAGAGGTATCTGAAAAAAAAGCTACCTCCATCTCATTGACAAGTATGACCTGAAATGGGTCCCAGAAAATGACAGGTATCAGCTCTTCAAGATTCGTCCTTTGATCTACAAACTAAAAGAAAACTTTCAGCAATTTATCATTTTATTATGAAAGTGTGAACGTTGATGGTCCGATATGTCGAACACCATTACCTCAAGCAGCTTATAAGTAGAAAGCATGTACGATTTGGATTTAAAAAATGGGCAATTTAGTGTTCACAAACATCTATTGTTACCAGGTATATGAATGAAAGGTTAGGTATTGGTGTCAACGTAACAGGGACTGTTCGATTGAAAAGTGCCCTATTGTGACTAACAGTAACTTTAAAAAAAATAAAACGAGGCACATGCAACTACAGATTTGATTCCCAGAAAGACATATCGTGTGCCACTTGGAACGACATAAGCTGTGTAAAGCTGGGGTAACAAGTAAGAGATTCAAGTCTCCTAACTGAAATTGATGATATAATATTACAGACACATGGGTAAGGTCGATAAGATGGATTAGAACGACTAAAAATGCAGAATCAAAATAAGGGGCAAAAGGGTGTGGGCTAGTACAATAGTCGATTCGAGTAAGGCTAACAATGATTTATGGGATTAATTGGGCTAAGATGAGTTTCGTTTATTTGCTTTTAACGTTTAAAAAACAGGATTAAATTAAACAAACATAGTTATCTTCGCAGCAACCTGTCAAATGTTATTATATTTTATGGTTAGATACAACGAGTACTGTGAAAATTGCCGTAACTAATTATCTGCCAAAATATTTTCTGAATTTTTTTGCTTCTTTTTTAAAATAAATTTACATCTGTTTAGTAGTAAAAATATGTGTTTTGGATCATTACACACATGGTCTGTTTCTGATTTCACATTGAATAACACTCAAACTGTATTCCAACATAAAACAGGCATCAATTTATTCGTGCATAAGTCTTACACACTGCAAAAACCTTTGTTTGCTCTTTCAATGTAATAATTCCAGAGGTTCTGACATCAACAGGAAGACAAACCTAGGAATATCTTGAGAAAGATTTTCTTCCAGCCTTTTTTTGGATAGGATATTGGTGAAGAAATATCACTTTGGAGATTGTGTCGATGGGTCGTCGAGTTCACACTCATAATACCCCCACCCCGGCACTCCCCAAAACGGGCCAGGGCCAAAGCCCTAGACCGTGCGGAAGCGCGCCGGGAACTTCCCTCCTGGCCTGAGGGACGCTGCGTTTAAAGCGTCCATAGTCCACTATCCTATGGGACAGGATTGCTTTACTTCCTCTCCAGAGAGGTGGTATTGCGTTACCACTACCCACCGCCCAGGGAGCTGTCCGGTCGGGACGTAGCGGGGACGAAAAGGTCGCCTAGGGGCGGCCTTCTCAGGGCCGCGTCTTTTTAATCATTGACAAGGGTTTGGGCGGCCACCCATTGTCTCACACCCATCAACGGCAACAGTAATCATATTAGCGCTCAACTTCCGTTGCGTAGTAAGTCATGCGTTTTTCCTGGGATTTTTTAGCTTCAGAAGGAAGACTCCCCCCTACTAGTCGGGCACGCCACGAAGAGGCAAAATCATGTGTAACACCACCCGAGCAAGTGGTGCTGGACATCGACCTTACAGAGTTCGGCCTTTGCCCGCCCGAGTGATAAAGACTAAAACTTTCAAAAATGATAATTTCTAAATATCCATGCATACACAATTACAAAATAAAATACAACAAAAATACTTTTAAATGATCTTACCGTTTTCATTTTCATTGCCTTTTAAAAGTTTAGAGGTCAAACTAAAAAAAAATAAATAAATAAATAAACTAATTGTTTTAATAATTTTCAAACATGAAAATTAATATTGAATTTAATTTTTAGTACAGTATCAACTTCAATTTTTAAAAGAAAGATCAATATATAAATACCCATAAATAAATATTTTTAATATTTTATATAATCAAGCTGCTGCTTAAACGGAATGACATTAATATGTTCAACTGGATGACATTTTTTAAAAGAGAAAAGTGGCCTAATCTAATGTTAGCCATTTACTTTTTAATTTCATTTTGACAACTTCCTTATTGATTTGCCAGGACGCTTAATTTATGTGGTCATTTCTACCGTTGCTTGCCTATTAAGTGTAGAATTTTGAAAAGATAAATACTAGTCTGCGCTATATACTTTCAAAGCAACTCCCCAAACCACATCTGGGGATTTATTAAGGAGCATTGAGCGTCCTTAATTGCAATCCCATATCCAAACAAAGTGACAGAAGGCTAAAACGAGTCTGGTATCAAAAGTATAAGATCAGAATACATCAAAACAGGAATGAAATTTACGTTTATGCAAGATATTGCAGGATGAATTTACCCATATTCTTGGCTAATAGCTAAACTCACCCCCACCCCCCCCCCACCCTCCGGCCTAAAGAGCGTTTTAACCCCAAACCCAATTTAAATTGGAGCGCTGATCATAAATGGTTGGCCAAAAATTTGTGTGTTACTTAAATCAGTTTGAGATGAAAAGAATCCTTAATTGAATTTCTTTGCAAATTACCCCGGATGCTGTATAGAAGACCCTGAGTCCCTGATTTTAGCGTTTTGTTTGTTTTTTGTTTTTTTTTGGGGGGTTTTTTGGGGGGGGGGCGCCTTTTTTCCAAACAACTGCTGAGTTGTTTTATTGGGTCTGCAAAAATAGTTGCCGTCTTAGGCATCACTAAACAAAGCGATGCAACCGACTGAAAATAATGTGTTTTCATTTAATACGTGCCATCTATAAATGAAAATTACAGATAAATAGCAAAATCACTAAATATACAAATTGTTACACTTGATGAATATTTATCAAACGCATGTTACCCAAAGAAGTTCGGCTAATAGTCCTTACAGTTAATAAAGATATCTTTCTAGTTATATGTTTTTGAACAGACTTGTGGAAAGAGGGTGGGGAAATCTTTAAAATCTCCAAATGTTCTAGATATTTGGGAAGTCTAATTGTAGTATTAAGCCACATGAAAATAATCGTTTTCTATAGGATTTAAAAATTACCAGGTAACTTACATTATTTATCACTTAAAATAGTTTTAAGGAGGGGTAGTATTAAGAATGATTTTTAATTTTATTTTTGTAAACACTTATAAAGTATCTTACTCAAATTGTTTCGCTTCGTCTGACAGCAATGTTTTATTTTCTTTCTTCTTTTTCCTAAAAAAATAGAGATGATTTATATATATTTTAATAGATGCATATATGTATAGATAGAATAACACATGTAGATAATGTATATAGATAAATAGATAGGAATGGATAATGACATATATATATATATATATATATATATATATATATATATATATATATATATAGATAAAAAAAAAAATATATAAAAAATATATATATATATATAGATAAATATAAAAAAATATATATATATATATATATATATATATATATATATATATATATATATATATATGAAAATGGGCAGAGACTATTGGAACTGTGCTGTTTACATGGACTATGTGTAACTAACACCTACTTCAACTGTAATGCTATCCACCATGTGTCATGGAGACATCCTCGCTCTAAACACTGGAACCAGTTAGATCTCATAATCACAAGACGCACACAACTGGCCAGTGTTCTCCTCACACGCAGCTACCACAGCGCAGACTGCGACACTGATCATTCCTTAGTAGCTAGCAAGATAAGGCTAGAGCCAAAGAAACTGTATCACACCAAACAAAAAGAGTAAACCACGCATAAACATCTGCTCCACCAAAAACCCAGAGAGAACAGAAGTATACACCCATAGTCTACAAGATGCTCTTGTACAAACGCCACCAATGGACACTATTGAGACCAAATGGTCACATTTGCGGGACACTATCTATAACTCGGCTATCACGACATTTGGAAAGAGAGAACGCAAAAGTGCAGGTTGGTTCGAGGCCCATTGGCAGGAAATGAAACATGTCACCGATGCAAAAAGAAAGTCCCTCTTAGCTTATAAAGACAGACCTTGCCCAGCAACTCTACAATCACTTAAAAGTTCCAAGACAAATGCCCATCAGGCAGCTCGCCCCTACGCTAACACATACTCACTCAATCTAAGCTCCAGCATACAATCAGCTGCTGATAGAGGCAATGCAAAGTCAATGTACGAGAATATAAAGCAAGCAACAGGCCCTCTGATCTCCAAGACTGTGCCCTTAATGTCCAAAGCAGGGGAAATTATTACTGATCGAGATCAACAACTTAAGCAGTGGATAGAACACTACTTGGAAATATACGCAACAATAAAACAAGTCTCAACCGCCGCCCTTGACGATATCCCAGACTTGCCGGTCATGGAGGAGCTTAATACCCTACCCACAATAGAAGAGCTACGTAGAGCCATCGATTGTCTCACCAGTGGGAAAGCCCCGGGCAATGATGGTATCCACCAGCAGCTCTCAAATGTGTAAAAGGAGTACTATTACAGCCCTGGCACGATCTCCTTACTCTGTGCTGGGAACAGGGACAGCTGCCACAAGAGTTGAAATATACAAACATAGTTACATTGTACAAAAATAAAGGAGACAATAGTGACTGCAACAACTATCGTGGAAACTCCCTCCTCAGTATAGTTGGAATGGCTTTCGCCCCAGTTGCATTAACACGCCTACAGACCTTAGCATCGCGTGTACTCCCAGAATGTCAATGTGGTTTTCGCGCCGGTAGGTCAACCATAGACATGATCTTCTCTCTGCACCAGCTGCAGGAGAAGTTCAGGGAGCAACATATGCCTTTATACATTGCGTTTGTCGACCACACTAAGGCTTTTGATCTTGTCAGCAGGGCGGCCTGTTTCAGATCCTCAGAAAAATAGGCTGCCCTACACGACTGCTTAACATCATCAAGCAGTTCCACGAAAACATGCAAGGCACAGTGTGTTATACGGCGCCGCCTCAGAAGCTTTTCCAGTTAGTAGTGGAGTAAAAGAAAGGTTGAATGCTGGCTCCTACTTTATTTGCAATATTTTTCTCCATTCTACTCCAGTATGCCTTTCAGAACAACAGCGAGGGGATACACATCCACACTAGAGATGACTGAAAATTATCCAACATTGCCCGCCTTAGAGCTAAGACTAAATTAAGAAATGTCTTGCTGCAAGAGTTCTTGTTTGCGGACGATGCCGCTTTGGTATCTCAAACAGCTGACGGCCTGTAGAGCCTGGTATCTAGCCTATCCACTGCCTGCAAAGCGTTTGGCCTGACAATTAGCCTAAAGAAAACTAACATTATGGCACAGGGCGCTGACTCCCTCCCCACAATCGCCATTGACGACTACGATTTGGAGAGTGTTGACAGATTCACATATCTGGGATCCAACATATCGAGCACCCTCTCAATGGATGATGAGATAAGTGGGAAGATAGGGAAGGCCGCAACTGTTATGGCCAGACTGAAGAAAAGCGTCTAGTCAAACGACAAACTCACAACAAGAACTAAGCTGCAGGTGTACCAGGCCTGCGTACTGAGCACACTTCTGTATGGATGCGAGTCGTGGACCACATACTCTAAACACGAAAGAAGGCTCAATGGCTTCCAACTGCGCCACATCATTGACATTAAATGGAAAGACAAAGTCCCCAACAGGATGTCCTGTCCCAAACAAACATGTGTAGCGTCCCAGCCACGTTAATCCAATGACGCCTCTGCTGACTTGGACACGTCAAGCGAATGTAGTCTTGTCGCATACCAAAGGACGTGCTATACAGCAAGCTGGCGACAGAGAAAAGGTCAGGTCGTTGGCCTCGTCTGAAATACTTAGACATATGCAAAAGAGACATGAAGTCGGCGAAATCGACATCACAAACTGGGAGGAGCTGGCAGAGGATCGATCCTCATGGCGGGGCATCGTGAAAGCAGGATCACTACATGTGAGGATCAAAACAGGGCGGAAACAACTGCAAAAAGAGTGAGGAGAAATGCCACTAAATACTGCTCCACCGCATTCGTATGTGGAAAATGTAACAGAGACTGCCATTCGAGGATTGGTCTAACCAGCCACACCAAGAGCTGCAAGCAATACAGATATTCTATCGTATCCCGCAGACGGAAAGATGCCATATATATATATATATTGTTATGTAGTACACTTTCCCCGTGCTTGGATCTTGTTTCACCCCAAATTTGATCCCTAGCAGACCATAGCGTTTGTTGTGGGCGTGGCTTAGTCTTTCAAGTATCGTGTTTACTACCGGCTTCCAATTAAACATGTTTAGTAGGACTACTAGTATGTGTCGAAGGTTTATGAATGTATTAGAAAAGTAAGGATGATTCTAGACGAGTCGGTAGAGCCATATATATAAAGGATTGACAGGCACAGAGAGGGATGGAGATTCAGATAGATATATTTTAACTTCAGAAGACGTATTATTCTTTGTGTAATTATTTTTTTATTCGCTTTCGTCATTGTACATTATTAATTAGCACATTGTATTCTCTGTGTACCGGTACAAGATCTACAATACTCTGTAAGTTGATGATTCGTATTTATATTTATTTTGTTTTGTAACAGTATTATTACTAAATTAAATCTTATCAATTGTAATTGGTAATGTTTTGGGTGTCGTATTTTTGTTATTTTAATCTCTCTATGGTATGGTCCTTTGTTAGGCACTGTTTGAACGAGCCATAAATTTAAAAAAGGAGATACATTTCTCACAATGGAAGCCAATGCGTAACAATATATATATACATGTATATATATATGTATATATATATGTATATATATATATATATATATATTTGACAATTAAATACTTAGTGGAACAGGATATGTTTGTTTTTTCTAAAAAAAAAGAAACGACAGGATGGTGACATTTTTTTAACATAGAAGTAAGAAAAGTGTTATTTTTTTCCTTAAAATATATTGATGATTTTAATTTACCTGATGAAAAGAATTATACCAGTGGTGATTAAAATTAGCGTTGCAAAACACAAGCTCGGCACAAGTATAACAATCAAATTTTTTTTGTTTGCTGGAATCAATTCTGACGTTTTAATTAGACTTGTATCTGAAAATATATTTTTTTTTTTAAATACTCAATGAAAATTTCAAATAATTCGTGTCACTTACAAAAAAAAAATAAGATACATTGTTCTCATTTTTTATGGCTTACAAAAATGCAGATTGCATTTTTTTTAAAATAGCATGCAATTTATTAAAGCAGTTTGGGGGAAACAAATGGAATTCGAAATCTAATAGTCTCCTTAAAAAAAGTCCCTATACTTATTTCCTTATATTTTAAAAAGTTTAAATATAATGTGGTTTCTTTTACACAGTTTATGTCAGAAAAATAATGCATTTAATAACTTATCATTGACTTTGTAATGAATTTAAATAATAATCATTCACTTAAAACTTTCTAGCTGATTGCTTTGATTTGTTAAAGGTAGTGAGCTCGGATTATTAAATCAAAATTTTTTAAATATGTTAACTTTTTTTAAATTAGGCACCAACCTGGTCTTATTTTACAGCTGATATAGTTGTAACATTTCTCTAACTTGCATGCAGCGAACTTGATAGAAACTACAACATCTTCTTTAAGAAGAGTATTGAAAACAACCTTATCTTTACCATCAACAGTGTGAGATGTTTCATTTACTAGTATACTTATTAAACATGGCCTTGCTATGCTTAAACAGTAAAACTCAAGAGTTAAATTCATGCTGGAAATAGACGTAGAGCAATTCTCAGATGGAATGGTGTTCCCATTTACTTTCAATATCCAAGTTGCATTTCGAGAATCTTTAAAAAATACATAAAAATTATTCAAATTTATGTTTAAAAAAATTAATTTAAAACTATTTAAAATACTTGATTTATTGACATAGGCATATTTATTGGTATTTTCATAAAATCCTTATGATTAGCAATGACTTATTGTTTTACAGCAGCCGACCCATAGATAATGTTGCACATTTCAAATACATCATACAACGTATCAAATCTTTTAAGATAACCCTTACAATAATTGCATTCTGGAAACAGTTTATTTTAGTTTCATGAAATTTTTTTTTTTTAAATTTGACAGTTAAAAATAAAGTGTTTTAATAAAATTTTTAAAACTCCCAAATAGAAAATAAATGTACTCTTTTAAAAATGGTTTAAACAAATGTATGCGTGACAGAAATAAATACACACGAAAGTTTCAAGGGAAAAACCCCCAGAGATTTCTGGTTTTGAGAGTTTTGAGAAAAATTAAAAATTAAGTTTAGCAATCTTCATGAAAATATAAAAATGTCAAGATATCTAAATGTTTATTTATTGACTACGCTGCTTTCTCGGGTAGGCCTATGTTCCACTTTATTCTATTAATTTCAATGTAAAAGCGGAGGAAATAACCAACAAATTTTGAAAAAATGACATCAGTGATTTTTCACTTGAACCCTAAAAAAATCATTAGCTTTTTTGTTACCAAACACTTTTGGAAAATGCTGAAATTTTCTGCTGATGATGTTTGTTCCAGGAATTTGTAATTTACATGTGATTTCAGCCTCGTCATAATCTATGGATGCATTGAGACGCACAGAAAGGCTAAAAACAGTGTCATTTAAGGCTGTGCATTCATGGGCTGTCTTGTTCATAAATCTTTTGCAATCGCTATAGGGTTCCAAACTAAATATCTAAAATTAGAAAAAATCATAAATTGTGTATCAAAGTTAATGAAAAATAGCATTGGTGTATTTAACATTCATATCTTATCTTCATATATTTATGAAATATACAATTGTGGGTAACGAATTGCGGAAATCGATTCATTCTTGTTAATGAATGATTGAAAAAAATGACGTAAGAATTCATTTATATTAGTATATCTATAGTTTAAAGTAAAAAGGATCTAAATATAACATGTTCAGAGAATACTTAATTAGTAAGGCGAATGAAAACTTTAAAAAAGTTTTTTAAAGAAATACACATTTTTGATAATGACATATCTCACACCCAAGTCTTTTGATATGAATGAAATAAAATAATATAATATATGTGTTGATAAGTCAACACAGCGCTAATTTCACTTAAGATAACTTAATTTCTTACCTCTTTAGCAAATCTGTCTGTTTTTTCTCTTAACAAAAATGTTGCGTAAGAGTTCCCTGGAAATCCCTCTAAATAAACCACACAAGTAAATTCACATGTGTCTGTTGTTATAAATGTTTCGTTTTCACACATAGTTAAACATCGTTTTTCTTTAAACTGCATCATGTCAGCCCTTGGGTCTTTAGGGAAAAAAAAATATTATAATGAGAGTCCCACCACAACTCCGCCCCATCCCCACACACTAAAAGCAGGTTTCATGATAAAAGGAACTTTTGTATACTTGTTTCAGTTATCTGCTTTTGTAAATACGAATATTTGTTTCAATAAGAAAATTGACAACCACCGCAACAACACAAACGAAACAAAAAAAAATTAAAAAGCAATATACACGAAAACAGATGTAAAACAGAATGAAATATACGGTACAAAACGTCGTTTAATTAAAAAATATGAAGAAAAAATACTCTACCTGATAAGGAATCACTTAGTAACAGAATACTAAATAAAAGATAGTTACTTAGACTCAGCATTCCACTATTTTCCTTCTAGAACGAAAAAATATGTATAGTAACTTTTCAGCTATAATGTATATTTGTATTAATTATTGTGAATACGTTTAACATTTTATGACTTTTAAAAGAATGAAATAAAAGGAAACGTTTGAAATTTCATTTTTTAACGATATTCGAAAGATTAGTCCCACACATATAAATTTATTAACTAATTAATTAAGCTGCTAAACAAATGTCACTTGACGTTTCGCAATTTTTAGGAATATTTCATTAAAAGGTTTAAGCAAAATTGCGGGTATAAACTCAATTGATTTAATTTTGTTATTAAACCAGTGACCATGTTGCATTTAACATTAGAGTTATTAAAATGAAAGATTAAAATCACACTGCCAACTCCAGTACAGGTCTTGTCTAATATAGTAATAATCGCTTTAGAAGGGATATAGTAAAAATAACATTTATTAAAAGATAGCGCAAAGGAGATGGCATGGAACCTTGTGGATTGAAAACAATTAAACAGCAGTATCAGGGAAAGGACCTTTTCCAATCCCAGGTACCAAAGAAAAAAGATGATCAAAATCCTAATTATTTTTTTTTCAAAAAATATACCGCGTTAATAAAAAAAAACAGTCATGGACATGGCAAGTAAGTCACTGTCCGTGATAAAATACAGGGCTAGGTTACATGGGTGGATATGTTAACGGAATGCTCTGCAAATATAAGAGAAGGCTTGACACGGTCCATTTATTCCATATCCTACAGAAGGACAACAAAGCGAGTCACTCTTGGTCTCTTTTGAAAAAAGCATAACATTATAACTTTTCAATGCCATTAAATGCATTGCTACAACTTTTGTGTAAACGAAATTAAGTGACGCAGTCAGCACAAAAGCTAGATTAATTACCATTAATATACCTAGATTCACAAAAACTTGATCTGTTGAGTAAACTGGGCGCAAGAAAATGAGCTTTTTGACTCAAGTTTAGACGATCAACTAACATTAGGATCCAAATTTAATTTAAAAAACAGGGACCTAACTCCCGTATTTGCATTCCTGTCAACAAATAATTATAAACCTGTTAATATTCTCCACAAAGCTTGATGTTAGGAATTACAGGATGAAAAGTAGATCATACATTATAAATGTGCATGTTGAACAGCGGAGTAGTTGCCGGCCAATAAAAACGAAAAAAAATTATACCTTTTGCACTCGCTCTTCACAAATGTTAAAATTAGTTTCAGTGTTACTGTGTAAAACTGTTAAAAAGAAACAATACAAAATATACACTTTAAAAAAAAATCATAAGACAACATATTTTAATTGTACTTGAATTCGTATTATTAGAAATATTTTTAATGTCTTTTTTTTTTTTTTGGAATAGGCCTTATTCATTAGTTAAATTTGCAACATTCCGGTTCACTCACGAATTCAAATATGATCCCATAACTTGACACGATTCATCATTCTTTTTCCATGTATGCTTTATAATTTGCTTCAATTTTAGCTTAAGTGTCTATATTTTCGTATTCTATATACAAAAAAAACAAAAACTTGTTAAATTAAATTTTGTTTTTAATTGAATATGAATGTCTCGAAATAATAATGCCTATGCTGAAGTGATTCATAATAATATTTTAATTTGAGGAAACCAAAAAGGATATCGCTCACTTAATGTCATTAGTCAAACAAGGAAGTTAATTGTATAATATCTAGCAAAGTTAAATTAAAGTAAAGAATTAAACACTTATTTATAGCAATCATTTAATTTAAGATAAATGGTTATTTTGCTGATTATTTTTCATATCAGGTGACATCTCATGTCACATTACTGGTAATGAATGATTAAACTGTTTTCTAAGTTTTAATTTTGGCTTACTTTTTTTTTTTGGTTCACCCGTGCATATAACGGTACTTAAAAGGATGGAAAATAAAATGTTATATGTGATTGTTGTAATAATTAACATTCAGCCCATGACACTTGGTAAGTTACCTCTAAAATTGAATAATTCAGTTTATAAATTAAATACACATTTATGTATATAAACTTTTAAAGCCAGTTCGGGAATAACTTAAAGTCAAATGATGCGCATGCCGGTGGGCCCCAAGTATTTCAGAGGCCAACTGATAAAGGATCGTTTATTATGGGGTCGGAGAATTGATTTTATCTTGGAACGCACTTAAAGTTATGTAATTTTTTTATGTTTAACACTCACTGTCTTTTTCATAATTTTATGTTGTAGGATTAGGAATATGGTAAACATCTAAGGAAATATTGTGAAACACCGTCACTTTTGATGTTTGGGGGATCAATAAAATGAAAAGTAACATGTCGGTGAATCCAGTCATTGCTGAAAACATGACCATTATTTGAAGCAAACGACATTTTTGAGTTCCTAATTGTGAGGTTTTAAAGAGTATGACTCAAACTCCAAGTGAAAAGTATAGCCTTTTGCAGGTCGTAATACGGCACTGATGGTCAGAAATTTAAAAAAAAAAAACCTTTGCTAAAACTTTGCAGCAAAGATCATAAAGTAATCCTTTGTAATAGTAACATAAATTGAATTTTCCATATATGAGAAAGCTAAAATCGACTGACTTGGTAATGAAATCAACAGGGCAATAGAAAGAGAAGAAGGGGTGGGTGTGGGGGGACAACAACTGGTGAGAAAACAGTTTACAGAAAAACTCTGGTTATAATTTTTTTTAAATATAACGTTGTACTCATTAAAATCATAAAATTATTCTTTTATATAGATGATTTCTTATTTTACAAGGCACATCCAACAATACATGTCATCCAATAGAAGAGGGCAAGAGTTACGACTTCAAAATAAAGCTCCGTTCAGAAGACACTACTGGAAATATCTTGATAGATTCTCATCAAGGGCGGATTGGAAACTGTACAATTAACACAATGACGTGTGAAGATAGACTTCCTGGTCAATATCAGACAAATCTAACGTATTTAAATAACACATTTATCGTTATAATTCACATTTACAACTCATCAAGAGTAAGCTTGAACTCCAAGGAACCAGTTAATTATAAAGTTATTTTAAATGATGATGTCTTTGAGGGATATATAAGCCAATGTGCACTCGTTTTTAGTAAGTATTTTCTCGTCGGCTCATAATTATGGACATATTATATATTGCTTTATAAATGCAAATTTTTAGGAAATAAAGTTGAAAGTCAAAAATGTGAAACAAACGTATTTTAAGTTTAAATATATTTTTTATAATTTCTGCAAAATCTCACTGCTCATACAAGCGCAGTATATAGTCATATTTTTCGTTTACCGTTTTTGCATTTCCTCACGATAACTGTACAAATAAACGAAATTGGTTGTAGTTTCAAAATAAATTCATGAGCTTTTCAAATTTATTCATAGCTAATTATATAAAATCTTTAGCTTTACTTGTACTATAATTCAAATACAGGAAAAGCTACAACAATAACCTGCAAAGAAAATGTAAGCGATGAAGGTGTCAATGTGACCTGTTCTACGCAGAAAATATTCCCTGTTGGAAAATGCCATTTTCTTGTGTATAACAATAAAGTTAGTTCATTTTGAAAAATAAGCATACATTATTTCTATCCTAAACAACTTAAAAATTAAAAGTGATCTTACGTAACATATTGTATACGAGGCATAAAACTACCATATCCTCTATTTATTACACTATTAAAATATTATTTTCCACAATTTCTTTTTAAACAGACCAAATGCCACCTGACGGATTTGTTGGAAGATAACATAGAGCTTCCGGGCGAACCAACATATTTCACAACCTATTGTAATGTATTCATGCCCAGATCAATTTTAAGCCCAGGAATCTATTATGTACATGTGACAATTTACCCTGTAGTCCATAATGATGATTCAGATACAACATATGGCGAAACATTAATGTACAATCTTACCTTAGGTAAGTACTTGCAACCCAGCTATTTTATTTAACTTTGATCATAAACGTGTACAAAAGCATATTTATTGCTTCGTTTACTTCATACATTTTATGGAGCAATAATTAAATATGTAGTGATTTAATGTGTATTCCATCGAAACAATATTCTCATCATCTAAAAATGAAACAGAATTACCCCGTATAGCATTGTCAGACTGCTCAGTAGATTTAGAAGAAGGACAAGAAGTGAAGTGCATGTGTGAGGTAGCTGACAAACCGGTTATAAAGGCATCTACTTACTGGTACGGTGCTAATCAAATTATAATCAACACCTCGGAGCCTGGTGTCTTAAGACTGTTTCCATCAAAAGATGTGACACGTAAGTTCAATGACAATACTATATTTCTTTGTATATTGGTTCGTTTAAGGACTTTAAAAAAAAAAATTAAATAGTAATAAATTTTGTTGAAAGTTTATTTACCAATTTTGAAAATTAAATCTATTGAAATTTTCTGAATAAATAAAAGCTAATAAATTATTTAATCATCAAACATATTTTTCATTTCAACATTTATTTTCATATTTTTGCAGCTTTAACGAGAAAGTAACTAACTCAGCATTTGTTTGTTAAGAATTATATACATTATATATTTTCTCGAAATATCCAAGCCAACGTTTCATAATTCACGAATGTCAATTATTTTTTCTAGCATTTTGTTGTTAAATGAAGTTTTAAAATAAAGCAATATATTATTACGAAATTGTATACATCTTTACAGCATCTTTCTACTGCCAAGCTATTAACGTATATAGTTGGAAAAGCCTATTGGCATTTTACACACCAAATATATTATGTAAGTATACTCTAACAAAGTTGTATAGCTATGAAATTCTCTAAATGAACGAGGGGCGGCCCCCGGGGGGGGGGGGGAATCTTATCACAAAAGAGTCTATGATCTCTTCTGATTCATCGTAAGTATTAGAACTTGCATATTTTAAACAAAGTTATTAACAAAAGAAATAAATTTTGGAAAAGCCTATTGGCATTTTACAAACCAAATAAATTATGTAAATATACTCTAACAAAGTTGTATAGCTATGAAATTTTCTAAAAGAACGAGGGGCG